TGGCTTTGCAATTTGTCAAGCTTTTGTGTTAGATCTTTATAGCGACTGCCGAACCGATTTCAGCAAGCTCGACTTAACTATTGGAAATACAAATAAATAGTAATAGGAGTTTGAGCAAGCGCACATATCTGTATTTCATGTCAGCTGAGTGCTTGTGAGAATTGCTTATAACACACTGGGCTTTTGATGCAATTGTTTAGCCCAAGTACGTGTTGTGCCACTGTAGTTTAGTCTTATAGGCAAGGCTCAGCCACTAAATATAACTTAAAGCGCATGAATATCACCTGCCATTAGGGCGTATAATTTGCTGGTTCTGTTTTTTGTTGCCCGATGAGTTGGCATTTATTCTGGCCAAGTTTTTAGGTGCCGCCCCCTCTCTGCCTTCTCTCTGCCCCAGCTACAGCTACTGCTCAAGCACCAGCTTCGGCTCATTTATCATTTTTTAGTGTGACAAACAAATAAAACACAAAGTTGACAACACTCAAAACGCTCGTTTGTTGTCGTTTGTCTCCGACTCTGTGTCTACTCGTCGTTGTTGCTTTTGTTTTAGGTTTTTTGTTGTTTGATTTATTTAGTTTATTTTATTTTTATTTATTTTTTTCTTTGCTGCTTTTATTTCGTTTTGACTGGCATTTAAGCATCAATTTCAAATCGCATTTCAGCTGCCGTCTTACGCGTGGCTGATTTTTGCGCCAACAGTCGCTTCATAAACATACCTACACTGAAAGAAATTTGCAATAGGTTATAGAATTTGCATGCTAATTTGAGTAGAAAATAATATTCTTTATTATAATTGAGATTTTAAGTTGACTTGAGACTTAGAAATATTTTATATAAAAATATATTTGGAAAAATATAAATTGAAAAATTCATAATAAAAAAATTGGCTTTAATTTAAATGTTAAAATATAAAAAGGTTCCAGATTAAATAATATGCAAATCTTTGTTTAATGTTTTAATATATTTATATATTTATATATTTATATATTTATATATTTATATATTTATATATTTATATATTTATATATTTATATATTTATATATTTATATATTTATATATTTATATATTTATATATTTATATATTTATATATTTATATATTTATATATTTAGATATTTATATATTTATAAATTCACCATTTACCACAAAATTGTCCATTTATTTCTGAATATTCTAAGATATGTAAGTCAAATCTCCTACAAATGGCACTTAAGTAGAGTTAACTTTCTCAGACCATGAAAAAGTCCAAATTTATGACATCCGCTTTGTTGGCTTGCTGTGTAGAGCTAACTGACGGTGTCTTCAAATACATTGCGTCTATTTCACAGCACATAAATTTCAAGTTTTACAGTTGCATTCGGCCCTGCCGAGGAGACGGCAATCACAATTACAATTTATGAACCAAATAATATATAGTATATAAATATATATATATATATATATAATTTGATTCTGGCAGTCGCCTGCACTTCATAAACAAAACAGTTTCTCGATCTAACTAACCGCAAAATGCTTAAGTGGTGAGCAGCCACTAGACAGGGTCATAACAGGAAATTTCTGACTGACTCTGCGGGCGGCTGAAGTGGCAGCAGAGCGAAAGGTGGTGTCTGAGGCGCAGCAGACACAGACAGTAGATGGATAGCTGGAGCTACTTGCTGAAAATCTAATAATGGCCTGCCAGCCAAGGCGACAGCGTACTTCTGCTCAACTTAAGGCAAACTTGAACAGTTTATGAAGTAGGCGTAATAAAAAGGCAGAGAGAGAGAGAGAGAGAGAAAGAAAGTAAGAGAGTGGGAAAACCACAGGACACACTGCCTTGACTTAACCATTGTGGACAGGCCTTGAATTGTGTTTGGTGATTTGTTGTAGTTGCACATTTATGGCCTGGTTTTAACTGCTGCCATATTTATCAATGGGCGCCGCTCACTAAGTATTATTAATAGTGCGGTTTAGTGTGCGTCTCGCAGAGCCCATTTCCATTTGTTTGCTCATAACAATTGCGCCAATTTGCGCTTATCATTTATCACTAGCCGCATATTAACACTGAAAAAAATCACAATCATATGACCATGAATCGCACAATTTGCATAGGCAAAAAAAACAAAACAAAACAAATCGAAACGGAAAAACAATCAAATGCTAATTTCCAATGTAATTTCCACGGACTAACAATAAATTTAGAAAGACAAAGGCGACACATCTTAAATACAACTTACACGGAATCATAAAGAAGCGCCGGCTGTACACAGCTTAAATCTGAAATAAGATCTTGCGGTGGCGTATACGTAATCTCAGCCGTTGCACGACTCAAATTACAGTTTGTGGTGAAAAAAAAAAATGATTATTGCTGTTGCTGCTGCTGGTGCGGCTGCTGTTCTACATAATGCGCATAATAATTTTGTTCATTTAAAACGTGTTGGCCAGCCAAATACAGGCAGCCAGACAGACAGACAGAGTCTCACAGACACAGACACAGACACAGTCACAGCAAAGCGCTTAAGTGTGACGCGTCATCATAAATAAAGAGAAGAAAGATAGAAAAAAACACAGAGACAATGGGAAGTCGCGGAATTAGCGTTGCGTTCTACAATGAAAACGGGAAGCTGTTTAGCTAATTGCAGCGTTTCAAATTTCGCGTGTTGCATAACAAAACGAGCCAAGTGACAGACAACAACTACAAAAACAACAAAAACAGCTACAACACTCAATTTCATTTGAATTTTGTGACACAAAACGTATCAAAAATCAAGTGAATCACGTCTCAGAACTCTCTCAAGTGCGCTGCAGGAGCTCAAGCATGGCAAGGTTTTGCAGCTAACAGGAAATTAAGTGGCTAAAAAGTGATATGGACCGAATAAATGCCCAATTAGCAATTGGGCTAACAATTCATAATACAATTGATTTAAAAATAAAATTTAGAGAGAACAGATATTAGATTTTATAGAAGATATATGTGGCCCAAGCTGAGCCAGTTGACTGTCTCTAAGCTTTGCTTTTATTACCTTATTTTTTACATATATTTGAAACTATATTTATGCCATTATTAAAGGGATAATATATGATACAATCAGCTGTCTCAGATTTGCTGGTCATGCTCTAAGCGTAAGGATTGATTTAGAATATCTCGGCTTAACATGAGCGCTCTTAGCAGCAAATCGACTTTTCAGCTGCTTTTTCAAAACTCACTGCTGTGGCTATATTTTCTTCACTAAATTCCATGCTTCATCTGAGTGTTGGCTTCAGAACCAAATGATTGTACTCATGCTCAAACTTGTCCATTGTGTTGGTCTTGAAAATCTCTCACAAATTGTTTTGGCCAAAATAATAATAAGGAATAAATTTTATCATTTATCTTCCATGCGCACATTCCATTAAAAATGATTTAATTTATTATTTAGGCTCAAGCTCAATCATTAATTCATAAAATTGGTCAATATGGGACACTTTGACTTCGTATCACAAATGCCAGCAAAGTCTAAGCAAAGTCAAATTACATTAAATATGAAATATTATGAGCAGAGAAACTTAATAATAAGTCTTATAAATATTCAAGCTGGGTTGTTTAATGAAAACTATAGGCTATTTTATTTTCTTGTTTTATAATAATTTAATATAATTAAAATAAAATTAAATTAAGGAAATAATATCAAAAATTTCACTAACAAAACAAAATATATTTATAAATTTTAATTTAGTTTTAACTTAAAAAATTAACATAAATTTATTTTTTATAATAATTATTCATTTATTTTTATTATTAATTATATTAAATATATAAATTAGATTCTGAAAAATATTTCTATATATGAAAATGATGCAAATTAAAATAATAATCATTTAGTTAAATTTAATAATAATAAATATTTTTTATTTAAGCTTAATTTAATTATAATTTTTATTTTAATTTTAATTTAAGTTTAATATTAATTTATTTTTAATTTTATTTTTTGTTTAATTTTCATTTAGCCCTAATTTAAATTTGATATTAATTTAAATTTAAATTTATTTTAATTTAGTTGTTGTTTTATTATTTGCTTAATTGTTTATTTAATTGTATTTTATGTAACAAATGAACACAAATATGCAATTTTAATTTAATACTAAATTAAAAGCTACTACGTGAAAATTAATGTTAAAGTTTCAATTTATTTAGTTTGCTTTTAACTTTAGTCAGTTCTAAGCAAAACATCTTTATATACAAACATCTCTTGTTGTCTATTGTTACAATTTATAACGAACAGCCAGTAGCTGCTGTTTATATTATATTTCTGGCTAGTAGTAAACAGATATACCGGATACGTATCTGTTTTTCAATTTTCCACGAAAACCCAAAGCCAAACAATGAGAACGAGCAGCATATGCAGTTGCCTAATGAGGCTGCTAGCTGGACAAGCAACAATTTAGGGACACAAACGTGGCTAAAATTGTAAAGGAGTCGGTCGGAAAGTGGGAATTGTTTGGCACACAGTGCGTATGATTAATGCAGGCGCATATTTAATCATTTTTCATGGGTCCGAAATGACAGGCGAGTAGATGATGTAACAACAACTGAACAACAAGGGACAACAATTTGAGGGTTTTTCTGCCAATGAAATTTAAGAGCTGGGCATCGGTTGACAGCCTAACAATTCGTATTAGATAAGAGGCGAGCTATATAAAGGAGGGGGCGGCGGGGCACAATCGAGTGCAACTGACAAAAGCAACAACATCCTGACAGCCACGCCCTCAACCCTCCCCATTCAGGCTGTGAGCAAACAAAAAGAGCCAAACTAAAACTAAACTCATTTAACTTTTGCCATATTTTGTTAGCATTTCACCTTGCCTAACAACAACAACAGCAGCAGCAACAGCAACAATACACAGCAAAAAAAAACTGTTATCAAAATGTCATTCATTCAAATATGTACCTAGTCGCCAAGCATCGCTGGCTGCGTGAACGCCACCCATTTCCATTGTTGATTCTTATTATACATTTTGCCTCTTCTTCCTTCCACTTGCAGTGCCCACCGACAGCAGCAGCAGCAGCAGCAGCAGCAGCAACAGCAACAGCGCATCCTCTACAATTGTCATGGCCGTGGTTACGCCGAGCAGCATTAGCTCGAGTGGCAGCAGCACAACCGAATCGCTGCTGGAGCAGCAACAGCCGCAGGGTAAGTGTCTGGACTTAGCTTACATCCAGTCCACACGGCTGCTCCACTTTAGCCCAAAAAAACTAAAAGCCAAACAATGCCTCGATTTCTTTGCAGGCCAATGCCTGCTGGACGGCATTTGGGTGCCAGAGACCACGGTGCACTGCGAGAAGCAGACGAGCTGCCGCGCCATTCAGCGCACAGGACACTGTTGCCCCGATTATAAATGCGGTAAGTTGTTGCCACTCGCTGCATTTATGCAAAGTGCAGCTGCATCATTTCTGGGCTTACCTTTTACATCGTTTACTCTGCGTTCTCTGTTTCACAGATTGCCAAAAGGACGGCAAGACCTATGCGAACGGTTATAAATTGGTTGATCCGGATACACCCTGCACCGTTTGTTACTGCAAAGGTAAGGCTAGAGCGAAGCTATGCATTGCTCTCGATAAAAAAATTTGAATGTGCAGCAAAAACAATCAAAGGGGCATAGCTCAGCTCTCATGGGCTTAACGCAGGCAATGAAATTTTTAGAAAATTTCCATGCAACTGTTGCCCATAAGCTGGGCAGCTGAATTCTGATGAATATTGGAAATATCACAACTTCTGCCTTTCGCAACATAAGCCATGCAGCATCGGCTCCTTCTTCGCCGGCTCAACTTTCTCCCTACCTTGAACCTGTCCCATTCAGTTAATTTCGATCGAGGCAATTGCAATTTATACCGATTCGAGCAATTATGGCAACGTCTCATTACAGGTGGAGCAATTGTGTGCAGCCCTGTGACCTGTTTCCGCCGCGATGATTGCATGCCCAAATACGTGCCCGGCCGCTGCTGTCCGGAGTATGACAACTGTCCCAGTGAGTGCAGCACTCAGATAATAACTAATCTCGACCATTTCCTCACAGCCGTTTCAATTGTCTGTTCCGCAGTTCTTGACAACAATCCGCCGCTGTCCAGTGAGTCGAGCAGCGCGGCACCGTCGACCGCCAAGCCAGCGCCGGCTGCACCGCCCGCTGGTTTCAATTGGAACATAACCATCAAGGAGATTACCAAGCCGACAGAGATACGCATAACTGATGACAATCACAAGGTCAAACAGACAATACCCACGCGCAAAGCGCCCAATACGGAGGCGCCGTCGGCAGCAACAAGCACGGCAACAACAGCGGCAACGCCAACTGCTGCCGCAGCAGCTGTTGCTGATAGCACAACAGCAGCAACAGATATGCCGGCAAGTGAAGCAACAACAGCAGCTGGAGCAGCAGCAGTTAGCAGCACAGCAGCAACGCCAACAGCAGCAACTGATTCGCCGGCAACACCAACGCTTAGCCAAGACACAAACCCAAAAGCACTTCCAGTCAATGGCAGCGAAAGCTTAAAGCTCATCGCCTCAGTGGGCTACATTGAGCACCCGCTCCCGCATAACACTCACATAGGCGGAGCACAACAGCCGAAGCCGCTGGTCACCTACAATTCGGACGGCTTGCAGCCGTTGGCCGAGAACGATCCCAGCAAGGTGAACATCAAGAGGGAGTATACCACAGAGGGCGTGGCCGGGCTGTACAGCACCAGAGCCGAGGCAGTGCCCATCGGCGCCGGCTCCCTATTGCTGCAAAATGGCTTCAGAGATGCGCTTGTGGACAATGTTGCCAGTGCTGCTGAACTAGAGCCGGATACAGCGGGCAGCGACAACATCTACCACATCATCTCCACCACAGAAGGACCCAGCAGCAGCAGCAGTAGCAGCAGCAGCAGCACTGAGCGTCCATCAATGTCAAGCACAGAGGGACCCATGCAGTCCACTGAGTACAGCTCCACTTATGTCTCAAATGTGACCATGGAACTGGAATCAACTACAGAGGGAATGATAGCAGTCAGCAGCACTAGCAGCACCAGCAGCAGCAGCAGCATCAGCGAACAGCCAAGCTCGACTACTGCGCATCACATGGAAGAGGAAGATGTGCCTCAGGTGGAATCGAATCCGGCTTATCCCTCGCTACCCGAGGACGATTTCAGTCTGCGTGATGTCAACTTTCCGCTAGTCGAGCTGGAGGAGATTGTCGAGGCAGAGAGCAAAGATGAGCAGCGCAGCATAGTCAGCGCCTTCGAGCGAGACAACAAGCGCATCAAGCTGGTCACAGAGAACAGCTTGGATGCCAGCGGCAATGGCAGCGGCGCTGGCAGTGGCGGCGGCAGCGGCGACCCCGAATTCTATCTTGGCTCCACAACCGAGCACATGCTGAGCGAAGCATCCAGTCTGGGCAAGGTCTCCATTCAGCAAGTGCCGCTCATGTACAGCGCTGAGGATAGCTCCGCAGAGACGCGCATTCAAAACGTTAACGAGCTGGCCAAGCTCAGTGCCAGGCAGACAGAAAACGAGACCAGCGGCGAGCTGGACACTGGCAGCGGCAATGGTGAGCTGCGCGAGCCAACAACGCCACGTGCCCAGCGACTGCCCGCCGTGGACATAGATGAGCTGGGCTCAGGCGCCGGCCAGGCCCAAGGCGCAACAGCACAGGACCCCAAGGCAGATGCCGAGAGCCTCAAGCTGGACGAGAGCCTGGAGCAAGCCGACAATGTGATCAAAACCAAGGCAGCTGCGCGTGGCGAGAAAAGCTTCGTCGAGCAAAGCGCCACAGCAGCGGCCCAGCATCTCGAGCGACTCTATCTGCAGCGAATATACTGAGAGAGCGAGAGAGAGGGAATCGCAAGATCAAGCAGGTAGCACAACAAATCTTTTGGTGTATATAAATACTATATATGGTACGTAGCAGAGCTGTAGTTTCCAAGAAGAAATTCAAATGCTTGGGTGAAGCGAACGACTAGGTAAATGCCATGGTAATTCAAAAGTAGTTCAAGAATTACTCAAGTAATTGTTTTTTTTTTTGTGTAATTCTCATACGCAAGCAATTGTAAAACATAAACTAATACTTCTAAGAGTTGGGCATCGATATCGATAGGCAGTTATCGATCCTGAGTGCGCAGTCTAAAAGGAAAGTGAGCGGAAAGTCTTTAGTTTAAGTAGCAAGAGCAACATTAATAAACAGAATCTAATTTGCACAGACTGCAGATTAAATTTTAAATGCAAATCCAACTCAAGCGTTATTTAGACTTGAATTTAACTAGAAATTAAGCATTAATTTAGCAGCAACAACAACAACAACATAAAGCTGGGCTCCCCAAATGCAATAAATTTAAATATAAAAAAAAATAAAAATATTTTTATGAAATTTGCACACTTTGCACTTAGTTATAGAATTTATTTATTCATATATAAATAAAAATTATAACTATAAACTAATACAACTTTTTTGTAATTTAAGAGCACTTTTAACATTGCCACGCCCACACACGCACACACGCACATACAAAATTATTACACATTTTATTTAACTTGTTTTACCTACTATGAATTTATTTAATATTTAATTTATTGCATAAACTATACGAAAAACAAGATGGAACGCAAGGCAAATGCTCTAGTGATGTTTTTAATGCAAATTATATAGTCCTCTTCGATTTGAAAAGCTTTTAAGTTTAGACTGAATATTGAAAGTTTTAATTTAAAGCAACTACTTTAACTATTATTTAAATATATTACACAAAAAAATATATATATAAACTTCCCGAAATTCATTTAAATATAAATAAAGTGTCAAAGTGCAGTCATTTTTTTAGGTCTTAAGCTAATGAAAATATATACTTAAAAAAAAATAAAAAAAAAAACATAAATAATTTATTTAAGCGCGCAAAAATGAAGTTCTGTTGAGCAATAAATAATTGCACAAACGAGAAAAAAATATAAATTTATAATAAAAATATATATAAAATAAATTAAAAATGTACTTTAACTAGCGTAAATTTAGTTTCAAGTTCATTTTCATGTGTACGAATAATAATAAAAAGTATAAATATATAAATAGTAATAAAAACATGTGTGTGAAATATACAATTTTAGTTGGTGAACTGCCAGTTAAGCGCGTGAGAAGCGTGTAGAAGAGCGCACAGTTGAGTGAAGCGCATAGAAGAGTGCAAAGATATGGGCACTCAGGCAGCGTTGTGAGTGACTGAGAAGCGCACTCCTAAGGGAGCATGGTATTGAGTGAAGCACACTTGGAAGAGCTCAAAAAGGCGCTACAAGTAGAAGCTGTTCGAGTAGTTATAAAAATATTTTTATGCATATTTGATAAAATTAAGTTGAGAACGTGAGAAGAATGTTCAAATATTCTGTTCGCTTGTGAGACGCGTAGTAGAAGCTGAAATATACCAGTATAAAGCTGATATACATATATTTCAGCAGAGAAGAGCATCAAATTATGTGAAAGGCTGGCGTGAGAAGCGCATAGGAGAGCGTAAAAGTGAGTGAAAGGCATTTAGAGCGACGGAGGATCGCTGTGGAAGCTAGAGAAAACTTTGTATTCAATAAAAGCTTTCAAGTGCTTTAAAATGTTTAGTTAACTGCAAGCTAAAGGCAAGAGAATCAAAGAGAGAGGCATTGTGGTCTTGAGAAATCTTGAGTGGCAACGACAACTGCAAGCTAAGAGCGTTGTGTGGCACAGCTGTTTGGTTTGATCAAAAGCTGAACTGAAGAAGATTTGTCGACGCGCACTTGTCCTAGCAACAATTGCGCAATTGGACACACCCACAGCAACAGCAGCAACAACAGCAGCGACGGCAACAATGACAACAATAGCAACATGACTTTTCATTAAATATGCAAGTGCATGCGGCGGCAATTACCAAGAAATTAAATGAACGAAACGTAGACAACAAATATCACGACAAACACGACGACGGCTACAACGAATGTTGCATCACAACGGCAACAGGCAAAAGTTGCCGCCGCAGCAGCAGCAGCAACGGAGACCGCAGAGCAGCGCCTCGGCTTACGCCGCAGGCAACAATAATGACAACAGTCAATATATTGAGTGTAATGAAAAATACACTTAAAAAAAACAAAAGTGTTACGCAATAAGGTTGAGGAGCTGGCAGCGAGCTTTTGGTTAATTTCGTATGCGCCACGGGATACCAATTGGAGAAAGTCTGCGACGGCCTCTTCGTGTGTTTGATTAGACCCAAAAAGCACTTTCGATTAGAGGAGCAACTGGTTTGTAGGAGCTAGACTTTCGCTTTCGTTAAAGTTCAAGTCAAAGCTAATGGGAAAGAGCAAAAGTCACATTTGTAATACTTAAATAAATTTTTTGTTTTTATTTTCTGTTTTTATAAACTTAACAAAATGCAAATGTCCAAATCGCATGACTTGTACGATGTCCATTAATTTCGTCCAATTTGGTCGACCTGCGTCTGCAGATTGTTTATCACCTCCGATGGCACCGTGTCGCCGAGTATGTCGAAGAGATTGATGCGCTGGTTGCCGGGTATCTGCTCATAGGCGCCCAGCTCGATGCCCTCCTGCACGTTCTGAATCTGCGCATCCTTGGGTATGAGCAGCGTCTGCTGCGCCTGCCGGATGGCCTCGTTCGAGTAGGCGGCGCCCTCACGGGTCTGTGGCAAGCAGCGCACGCTGCCAGCCAGCAGCAGCACGGACAGCACGGAGCACAGCGCGAAGAATTTCATTTTGTTGTTAACTGCAAGAGAGATGCGCGTTTTATTTATGTTATTCAATAGCTTCGACGCCTTTCCTTTCTTCTTTTACTGTTTTTTTTTTTTTTTTTGTTTTATAAACACCATTCGCTGTCTTACCTGGCGCGTTAGCTTTGTTGTAATGATTCGGCTGCGCAGGCGCCGCGCGCTTTTTATAAGCTGAGCCCGAGCACTGGAAGCGGCGCTGCGTCTGGAAAGTCGCAGCAAACATTTCGCTTGTTTATTTCTGGTTTTTCGATCAGTCAAATGCAAGAAATTCAACAAATGAAAGAGCTTAACAATTTACCATTGGTAGTTTTATTTAACTTTTTTTTGCCAAGCGACCCATAAAAGTTGATTATTTTTAGAGCAGTCAAATAATAAAAATGATATTATTGAGCATTTGTCCACTTTTGTGGCTTAACCTTCGCCACATAACAGAAATGTCAAGAGGCGCTTAACCTTCCAGTGCGCAGACAAGTTGTTGTAGGCATTGCTATCTGGTTCATTAATGGCCAAAGCGAGGCAGATTTAATGAAGTTGAACAATTGCGCACGGCTTGAAGAGCCACCGAATTGTTAATTGCTAACCAGCTATGGTTTTTAATATTTTTGCGTAAGCCGTCAAAAACAACTGCAGCTGTTTGTTTTTTTTTTTCACTTTTTACTGTTTCTTCGGCAGCGCAGCGCATATCAATATTAATTAATAAACGATTAAGTTTTTGGGTATATTGCTATTTTTTGCACGTTTGCATTGCATAAGAAATGAATGATTAAGTAAGAGATGGTAACGGCATCTGCATTTAATAGGTAGTTTGTCAAATTTATTAGCTGTCTTTGCATAAATTTGGCGGTAAATTTTAAATAAACGATAACAGCTCATGTAACGCGATAAAAACTACACTTTGTAATAGTTATGCCAGGTTGGCAGGTCACCAAAGACTTATCGTCAGCCGCCACTATTTGTTGCGCTGTGGAAACAAAATGTCAATATTGGAAAATGTATTGTTTTGCTTAATACATTTTAATAATCACAGAAAATATTAATATTTACCATAAAATAGATGTTAACTATTGTATTTTTTGTGCTCTGTTGAGCACGTTTTAGCCGGTGTTTTCATTGAATTCGCATAGCTAAAACACCAACTATCGATAATTGTTAAATGTACATCACTAATATATTTGTGGGCACCACAATTTTTTGTGATTTGTTTAATAAATAATTATTTGTTAATTAAAATAAACGAGAATTATTTAAAAAACTCTTTACTGTTCTACAGGGCCAAGTAAGTGCACTAAGGAAAACATCTGAGCACTTCAGCTTCTGCTCACAAGTCCCGAAAGCGAAACCAAAACACCGCATTGAAACGCACGTGTGCGGGAATATGGAAGTAGAAAACGGCGAGGGGCAGGTGCAGGTACACCTGAAAACCAAACAAGAACAGTAAGTATTCAAGTGCTATTGGTTGGTAATTATAATCAACAATGACTTTTTTAGCTATGCCGTGCCTGATGTCCCATATGCGATCGAAGGCAGCGTTTCCACCACGGAACTGAATATATTTCTTAATGCGCTTCTGCAAAGTAAAGGCGCTGAAGGAGTTGACTTTGATTTTCTTGTGTTTGATGAGTATCTGCGCGGTAGATTGTGTGATCATCTGCGAGAGAAGGCAATTAGCTTTGAGGATGCCATTGATATTGAGTATGTAGAACGATTCCCTGCACCAGAGCCGCAGGATTGTCTGCTGCACGACGATTGGGTGTCTGCTGTAAAAGCAAGTGGCAAATGGATACTCACTGGCTGCTACGACAACACCATAAACATCTGGACATACAAGGGAAAACACAAGCTCACTATACCCGGTCACACAGCGCCCATCAAAGCCGTAGATTGGATATCCCTAGATGATGAAAACGGTCGCTTTGTCTCCACCTCACAGGATCAAACTGCCATGATGTGGCAATGGAATATTGCATCGAATGCCGTGGAATGTGTGTCTGTGTGCAAGGGTCACGAGCGCGGTGTCGATAGTGTCTGTGTTAGTCCGGACGCACAGCGCTTCGCCACTGGCTCCTGGGATACAATGCTTAAAATATGGTCAGCTGAATTGGAAGACGCTGGCGACAGCACCGCAAAGCGTGCCAAGGAGAGCGGCGTTAGAGTAAGTCCATTTGAATTAAATAGTTCATAAATTCACTATAATATATGAATTACAGACGCCGCGGATGACGCTGCAGGGACATCGGGAGAGCATTTCAGCCGTGCAGTGGATGGATTGTAATACTTTGCTAACTAGCAGTTGGGATCATACGCTTAAAGTATGGGACCTGAACCTAGAAGGAATCAAGACGGAGATATCCACCAACAAATCTATATTCGATGCCAGTTACTCCAAATTGAATAACTTAATTGTTACCGCATCGGCGGATAAAAATCTACGTCTATATGATGCACGGACAAATCGTATGTCTAGATTAGATCACGTAACAATTTATAAAACTAAATGGATAAATATTTTTCGCTTTTTCAGAAGGTTCGGTGGTTCGCAACACCTACCTAGGACACAATGCTTGGGTGCAGACGGTCATGTGGTCAAATACGGAGGAGTTTCTATTTGTATCGGGAGCATACGACAACCAGAACAAACTTTGGGATTGCAGAAGTCCCAAGGCACCGCTTTATGATTTGCTAGGTCATGGCGAAAAGGTTCTGGACATCGACTGGTCGAATCCTAAATATATTGTTTCTGGCGGTGCGGATAACACTGTGCGCGTATTTAAATCAAGCAAAGCAACTGTTGAGAATATGGAAACAAAGTAAACTGTGGACATATACAATTAATATATAGTAACTGCTAGACGCCGCTAAGTTTAAATAAAATGTACATTTTTTTGTCAACACAACTATCGACTAAAATTTTTGCAATTGCTACCGGCGATATATTGCACACGCTTATAGCGACTATCGATAACGACGCTGCATCGATATTAAATTGACAACAAAAGAAATATCAAAAGCGGTCGACCGCTTGTCTGCCTGCCTGCTCGACAACGACCAGCTTAACAACAATTGTAGCAAATTTAATGAAGTTACAATTTAACAAGAACAAACAAACGGGACAATTAAAGTGTAAAGTACGACGCGTTAGGCAACGCTCGCCAAACAAAGAACAGCACAGCGAAAACAACGCGGCCAAGTGTGAGACATCGAGCGAGAAAGAGAGGCGAGAGAGTTAGCGCGACAACAGGGAGCAGAACAATTTTGCAGTGTTTTCGCGACGTAAAAATAATCAAATTTTATTTGCAAAAGGTGCGTATAGTACAATTAACCCCGTGCAGTTCTTTGTCTCAGTTCAGCAATGTGTTATTGGCCCAAATTGTGCAATCGTGCGATTGACAGCTAGGCGACGGCTTTCCGAACGCGTTTTGCAAATGTCTGCGTTGAGATGATTGATTTTTTTAACTGCATCCGCGTGCAAGCAACAAACCTCTACATATTTCCTAGTAAACGCTAAAATTAAACACAACAACTATGCACTTGCAGCACGGCCTTTGTCATGGCCAATAGCAAACTCCAAACGCTGCTGCTGATGCCCCTCTTCTGGTTGCCGAAGCAGCAGCAGCAGCGGCGGCAACGCTTGCCAAAATGGCCGCTCGTCTCTGCGCCTCTCTCTGCACGGGCAGCGCGCTCCGGTGATTAAATTTAATCCGATGGGGCTTTAAATGAATAGATTGTGGCATGAGAATTTTGGGCTCTCAATTTTGCAGCTTGTTTGCTTATTGTCTCCACCCAGCTAAACGGGTCAAGGACCTGCAAGAATCGCCAGTGCTGCGGCATCTAGTTCAAGTGCAAATATAGTTCAGTTATGTGTTTGATTGTTAACTCGAATGTTTTTGATATCATGACATTTCTATTCAATGGAATTGATTTTTTTTGCTTTCTTATTTGCTGCGAAAGTTCGGTTTTTATCGGGTGGCAACGCCAGGGTCTTAATGTCTGATAATTCGAAATCATATTCTTAATCTCTGTTATGTGGAGAAAATTGTTTTTATGACAAATAAATACATTTCAATTAAATCGGAATTAAAGCAGACAAATTTTATCGTACCTGAATTCTAACGCTTTGTTTTTGCTTTACAGCCCTCCTTAAAACTAAGACACACCATACAAAAAGACTGTAAACAACATCATGTCCTCAACTCCAGCAGCAGCGTCTGGTGCCGGCAGCAGTGCCACCAGCTCCAGCGTTGCGGCCACATCGAGCTCCGGCTCCTCTAGCAGCACTGCCTCCACCAATCAGACCACAGCCGCAAGCACACCAGCACGCGGTCGTGGCGGCGCCAATACGAATGGCGGTAGTGCTGGCGCCAATGCAGCTTCAGGCAGTAACAATTCAACGGCAACTGCAACCAGCGACGAGCCACGCAAGGATACGAAGTCAACGCCAAGAATATCTAAAGCACTGGGCACCTCGGCCAAGCGTATACAAAAGGAGCTGGCTGAAATCACATTGGATCCGCCGCCCAACTGTAGTGCTGGTCCCAAGGGTGATAATCTGTATGAATGGGTATCAACCATATTGGGTCCACCTGGCTCCGTCTACGAGGGCGGCGTATTCTTCCTGGACATACATTTTTCGCCCGAGTATCCATTTAAGCCGCCCAAAGTCACATTTCGCACTCGCATCTATCACTGCAATATCAATAGCCAAGGCGTCATTTGTCTGGACATCCTAAAGGACAATTGGTCGCCGGCGCTGACCATATCAAAAGTTTTACTCTCGATTTGTTCCCTGCTCACAGATTGTAATCCTGGTACGTACAATGTTTATATCTTGCCTAATTTTACGGTAATTAACTTATAATTTCTGTGCTTCTAGCTGATCCTCTGGTTGGCAGCATTGCCACGCAATATTTGCAGAATCGAGAGGAGCACGATCGAATTGCGCGTCTCTGGACAAAGCGGTAAATAGGCACATAAACAAATACACCGAACAACCCTTAATTTGTATCTACTCCATAGGTACGCAACATGATGCGCAAGTCCTAGCATTAAACACGTACCACAAGCTGCAGCAAGAAACGAAAATTCGCAAATTATAAATAAATATATTAAAGTACGCTAACTATAAACTTAACAACACAAAACACAAGGAGACAACGGCAACCAACAACACCAACCAACCAACCAACAGTCGTAAATAGCTAAACCACATAAGTCATAAAAAGAAGTCAAACATAGTTTCCTGATATGGTAATCATTTTTTCAATCCCACTCACACATGCTAGTTTGATGTATATTATTAATTATGCATTGAAATGGAGTGCAAAAATGAAACTGAAACATTTTGTAGTTGCGTGTTCCAAATTTCGTTTGTTTTAGAACCAAGTCAGAAAACTAACAAAAATAAAAATAAACACACTGAACATAATGAACCATAATAAACGCATCATTAAACTTCACATTGGCATATTTACTAATCAACTACATGAATAAATAATTATAAATACAATTAGTTTACATTACGAGTATCTGTACAGTGTTAAGTAAAAATGGAGCTAAACAATTAACAACAAACAAAGCCTATTTTAGTAAATATACTTATTAACACAACAAACAAACAAAGCATAACAAATAACAAATCGTCAGGGCAGCAAATTTCGTAATTTTGTGGAAATTTTCAATTATAACTGGCCGCAACAACAAAATTCTTGACAAAAAATTAAGAGAAACAAAAAAAAAATGAAAAAGACTCAATGTAAAAACGAATTACAATATATTTATAAAACAATGTAAGACACAACTTTTTCAAAATTGCAAAACAACTTTTTGTTATTTATATAAACAATTTGATTTAGTTTTTCTTTTAATGTGATATCCGTAAGCGTCAAATTCGTTCTTTGGCTATTCTCGTGCTGTAAAAATTGTGTATTATTAATGGAAATGCGAGCATGAATAAATATTAAAATATGAAAATCGCGAAATTTGCATGGTATTTTAAACAAACTGCAAAATTTATAAAACAAGCAAAAACAAAACGAAATGAAATGAAAATGAAAATGAAAACAAAACAAAGAAAAACTTCCTATTATTTTGTAGTTTTAATGACTCAAATTAAAGAAAAAACAAGTAAATGCGTTTAAATAAACAAGTTTATGAACAAGAGAACTTAAATATAAAAAAAAACAACAAAATAAAGGAAAATATTTAAAAATGTGAAGCAAATGCTTTAAATGGGTCTCCAAATGCCAATTATTTATTTGATGCGTTCTTAAACATATTAAATTTACTAGATTAGAGCTCTAAAAAAATATTTTATTTTATTTAGCAACTTTTTGTTATGATTACGGAGTTCGCTTATCAACATGGTAAGGATAGTATATTTATTTAAAGCAGCTGGTTTATGTTACTGATTGATTTGGGGCTTTTAGATGATATACTTTTAAAACTCTGCTTCATTTCTTGTTTACTGTTTGTTTACAGATCTCAGCAAGTAGCTGAAAATTTATTATACATTGAATGATTTTTATTTATTATATATATTCATTATAAAGCTGACATTTGAATCGATTTGGGAACAATTAAATTCTTATTTTTTATTATGGATTTTTTTTATATGGATTTCTATTGCAGACATTAGCTTACCAGACCTTTTCCAGCAATATCATACTGATATATCTGTATAGAAGACATATAGCTGCAACACTATATTCCGAATAAATCCATTCTTAATATTGGAGGAAGAAAAGACAAGGAAAAGTCTGAAATCAAAATACCTCCAGCCCAATTATATTTTTTGTTTCAAACACAATTTAATTTTCAGCAAATTTGAATACTTTAAATTAAGTTTTATTTGTTATGTATATATATATATATAATTGTTTATATAAAATATGTTTGACATTCATTTCAATTAACTACTTTGGGTCAGATGGCAGAGCTTGACGCCGCTGCGCAGATGACGCCAAAAACCCCCAACCCTTACGAGACTGGCACAGAAATCGGTATATATATATATATATTTATATGTATGTATATGTATGTGGTAAACTACGACAGATGCCCCGCCTTATAGATACATCCCATTGACGAGGAAGTCAGCCTCCTGGGAATAGGGCGTTTTGCCGCCCATGCGACGTGCTCGACGCCCCACCGTACGCATGCGACAGCCAATCAGTATGGACAGCGCAGCGGTTACCAGCAGGCCCAGCGTCAGGGAGAGCACCGCGCCACCGGGACGCTCTGAGTGCCCGTCATGATCTCGGAACTCCAACGCCAGGTTCTCGTGTATCATTTTGTATTGCTCGTGCACGGGGCCAACGGGCGCTGGCAATGCTGGCGGCGGCAACTGTTGCTGCTGTTTGTTTTGCTCCAGCGCCAGCTCGATGGGATCCTTGGTAGCCTTGCTCTTGGCCTTCTTGTGCTTGCGCTGCTTCTGTAAAATAGATGCCTAGAGTTAACCAGCAGCGATACCCTGGAGACTTGTTAGTTCACCTTCTTGGGCGGCTCTGTGGATTTGTCCTCGTCGTAGTCATCGTAGTCATCATCAGCTGCCTGGCTCTTGTCATGAGTGGGCGCTGCATTGAGCACTGGCAGCATGGCTTGCTGTGGCGACTGTGCTGCTGGCGGTGGCTGAGGCGGTGCTGGTGTCGGTGCCGGTGCTGCTGCAGCAGTTATGTAGGCGTGGCTCTGTTGTTGTGGCTGCTGCACAGCAATTTGAGCTGGCGGCGCAGCAACTTGTGGCCAGTTAACCATTGGCGACTGCTGCGCCACGCTCACCACTTGCTGCGGCTGCTGTTGTTGCTGCTGCTGCACATAAATTCCTGCGCTTGGCAGCGACATGCCATACAAAGAGCCACCGACGGGCGCCGCATTATTATTAGTATTGTAGGCCGGCAACTGGAGCTGTGGTGACAACTGTGGTGCCAGCGGCGCAGGTGGAGGTGGCTGGCCCTGAACCTGCCCCTGACTATTTGTCGACTGCTGCTGCTGCTGCTGCAGTTGCAGGCCGCCTTTATGATTGAATATGTGACTGTTCAGCTGTTCATCTGTTGAGGAAGTAAATGGTTAAACGCACAGCTAATTGAATTAATTACAAGTAGACACTGAGACCAGTACAAGACACACACATACACACTTAACACCACACTCCTACCCACTAACACACTCGTAAATCAATTCTGAGTGACGGGCTCCCATTACAACAATGAAAACTGATGGGTAATTGCCATTTTCCCAGCAACTTCTCAAGTGCCCGCAGCCAATTGGCCAGAGTGGACATCGGAGCAGCAGCTGCAGCCATTGCGTGCTCTTTGCCAGCAATTTATGTGCTAATGTCGCACACGAGACAAGCTAACTTCATCGTGGTTTTAGCAACAAGCTCATGCAGTTATTACATTTTGTTATAAATATTTATTGTAATTTGGCTGAGATAAAAGAGATCTATGTGATTACTACATACTTGCAAGTGGCATATATCTCTTATAAGATTTTATATAGACTCTAAAGAGTTAGGGTGGTCTTCAGGCACGCATATACCCTCTTCACTTATAACAGGGTATAGGAATGAAATGGTTTCTTAGATATATAATTGCTTAGATGCGAATGGCTGTCTCCAGAGCTGAATCAATTAGAGAGGAAATGAAGCTTAAACGGATGTTGCCTTTTTTCAGATTGAAATTTAAGCAATGCCATAATTTAATGCAGCATAAATAAAGTTTCCCAATTCCCTATTTGCCTTCGCTATAACTTTATGAAAGTTCATGTAAACAGAAATTCTCGCAATATGAACGGCCATCAACTTATGTCCCCTGAGGTCCTGCGCTTACATAGTTTTGTTACTTGTTTATGGCCACGTTTGTATGCCTTTCGTTCGGCTCTCCTCTAGCAGCACCCTAGGGCGTGCCTAGCAAATATTTTGTCAGAGCAAATGGGCAGCAAACTGTTCAGGCTGGCTCTTTGGATAAACTAGCAAATTAGGCATTTAGTTTGGCTTGTGCTTAAGCTTTGTTATCTGACTAAGTAAATTTGTAGTCGACTCTTAAATACCCTCTATATTTTTGAGCAACTCTGTCTGACTCCATCTCTATCCACATCAATTCCTGATAGCTTGGGTTAAAGTTGTATCAATCTGACTTCGCTTAATGTTTGGGTTCAACAAACTTCAACAACTGCCCTAAATTTGTATTTAATTAATATTTAACAATAAATAAGACCCGCTTAATAATAATCAAATTAGCTAATATTAATACCTAACTGATTATTAAAAATTAATTTTTTGCCTTCTCTTTAAATGCGAATTGAATTTAAAATATATTTCCTTATATTAAAAATATAATATTCAGACTCATTCAAGTTATGCTCTGCACAGATTGAGTTTGAATTATTCACAAATGTTATTCATATTTACCCGTATTCACAATCTCTTGAGCTTGTGGTTGCTGCTGTTGCTGTTGTTGCTGTCGTTGCTGCTGTTGCTGCGTCTCCGTAATTAGTTTGCGATTAGCCCAAGCGGACGCATCCTCACGATTGTTAACCATAGGCGGTGGCGGAGGTGGTGGCGGTGGGGGACCCAGCACTATAACATGTTGTTGCTGCTGCTGTGGCTGTGCTGCCTGCAGCTGTTGTTGTATGGGCGGCACTGGCTGATATTGCTCCATGTTGTTGCTGTTGCTGCTGGGCTTTGTGGCAACGGCATTGCACTGAAAAGTTGGTCAACAATTGTGAAAATCTGACACAAGCCGAACGGGTGTGTGTGTGTGGGAGTGTGTGTGTTTGTCAACTCACTTCCGGTCCCTCGTCGCTGCCATCTTCGCACTGGGGAATGCCATCGCAGGCATTGTAGACGGCAATGCATTCGCCCGAATGGCAGCTAAACTGAAAGCGTCCACAGTGAGCAGCGGGCGCTGTAAATGGGAAGCGGAAAGTACGAATTGGCATTTGCATAATGAATATGTGTCAGCGTGTTGGCTACGAACCGCTTTGGGGTGGAGCCGCTGCTGCTGCTGCTGCTGCTTGTGCTGACTGAGCCACGCCCAGTGGCTGTGAGCTGCTCGCTGTGGGCACGACCGCATTTGTGGGTTTGTCGCGCTGTACTTCCGGCTTGAGCTTCAGGTTGCTCAGCTCCCACTCCTGCTGGGAGATGTTGTTGCTGGGTATATGGGGCAACTGTGGCCGCGGCGTGCTGGCCAGCTCCGTGGAGCTGCGCACCTGCGGCGTCAGCACAGCGCTCGTATAGTTGGCGTGTCGCGTGAACTTGCAGTGGAAGTTCTCGGGCGGACCGCACTCGAAGAGATAGCAATAGCCGCCGGACTTGCGCTCGAAAATATACACATCGCAGGCATCCGTCTCACAGCAAAGCCGTTCGCACTCCTCCAGCGTATCCAGCTCCAGGCCCTGCAGATATTTGCCGCCAATCGCCTGGGACTCGCCCGTGCGTATGATGGTGTTCTTGTGCACATCGAAGTGACCTGCATTGAAGATGCTCGATTGGCACAGTCCAACTAACTAGCTACCTAATCTCTTACCTATGCAAACTTCCAGATCCATGCGCTTCGCCAGGCGATGCGTGGCGCTGGCTGCAAACTCTGGCTGTCCGGCAGCTGCCATGCTGAGCAGCAGCAGCTGGAGCAGCTGAAGCGGCAACAGCTTAAACAACATTTTGCAGCTGACTTGTGGTTGGCCTTTTGGCTAATTGCTTGGGCTTTGCTGGACACAGCTCACTGACTGTGCGCTTGAGGGGATGGGGGCTCGGCTTGTGCTGCGCGTTACGGGGGCTTGGCGTGTTTACAAATTTTACACGCTTATTGATTTTTTGGTAACAGCACAAAACTTGCGTAGTTTCTATTTTACCAATTACTGATACTTAAACAGCACTTGGCGTAGCACAACTTATTCGAGAAATGTTAATTTTTATTTCTTTTGAAAAGGCTTAATTATTTCTTCATAGTAATTATGATATCAAGGCAGCTCAGCTTGCTGCCCGAAATGTAAACCAATGGAAAATGCAAAAGAAAATTCAGCAGCAAATCATATAGGTAGCAACCCTTAACTGTAAAGCTCGAAAGCTTTGCAAAACAGCTGTAAGAACTGAACTTTGGCTCAAGAAAATTAACAATATATAAGTTTGTTTAATTTATATAAAAGCTATATATCAAATATATAAACATATATTTATATATATATCAATCATATAATTATCTATCTAATATCATACATAATATACATTTATCTAAAGTTTCGCCTTATCATCAACTGTTTTCCATGAAAGCTCCAAGCACTCTCTCTCTTCCTCTGGGTGTCTCTCTCTTGGCGCTCTTCCAGTGAACATATGTTAGCTTTATGCTTGAATTTCAACCCTAACCTTGCAGCACCTTGTGGCACAACAACAATGTCAGCTCGTATTAGCGCATCCCTGCCCGTGTCCTTTGCCTTGCTCCTATTCCCGTGCCATCCCTAAACAGATTTATAACTGCAAACATGTAGACGGCACTTTATAATAAAAATCAATAAAAGCTTTCGTATCTTCCTTCTATTTTATATTCGTTTTTGTTGCTCTCTTCGTAGGCTTTAATAATTTAGCAGTGGTTGAGGGTGGCTGAGGGTCCTAATGTCTGCGTGGATGGGCCGATTTGGGGCTAGCAATCAGGTAGATTGTTGGTAAATATTATGATGTGGCATGCGAAATACATAAGGCCTCTCTACATGCTGTCATTTCAATTGTTTGCGATGTCAGTTTAAAGTTCTGTCAAGTGTACTCAAATGGGTAGTATATGAGTATTTATAAGTATTGTTAAGCACACTTTTGTACCTGCAGGTACAGAAAAGTGTGTAGAGGGCTCTTGATGATTGTTATAAAATGAAATATATTTATATATATATATATATGTATATATGTATAAAATTTATTATGTATACAAAGTACATTATTCAATAATTCTATTAATGATATCAGTATCTGGCAATTACGGTTATTCGAGCATACTCAAAGAAGAAAGATTTATGATATAAATATTTTTAATATTTTTTATTAATATAATAATTTAAATATGTTCCTTTACCACCTCCCTCACTCACCTTTTAATTATAGCTCTAATTAATATTCCAACTATCTGAGATCCTAAAATTCATTTAAACTGAACTAGCTGTTAAGTTTCTCTTATCCCTGGTCATATACACATGTACACATATGTGTATGTATGTATGTACGTCTGTATACATTACACCCATTCCAGCTACTTGTGCGTAGCCGCAGCATAAGCCGAAAATGTCTATAAATAGCATCAGACCAGACGCACAAAATTGCACACAGCAACACAGCCACTAAACAGCTGTAACAGCCGCTCTAACAGAACTCTGTTAACAGTTAACAGAGCGCGCTCTCGCCGCCAAGGGCGGCGCATGCGTTGCATTGGGGTGACAACTTTAAAGCTGTTGAAGTTGAATCAACTTGAAAATGTTAATGAAAAATAAAAATAAAGCGATAAGCGGTAAAGGGTCGCTAACACCCACACCCCACACCCCACACGCACACACGTACACACATGCACACATAAACATAGACTGACTGCGTTTATTAAAACACCCAGGCGCACATTGCACAAAGGCCAAGTCAGGCAACAACCATAATGACTACAACAACAATAACAATAACAACCCCTTCTGGCCGGGGCACATGCACAAGGCAAAAAGAAAAACAGAAGCATTTGGAGCCATAAAGTGGGCAAATGTGAGCAGAAAAAAACCATTGCATATTCCAGGGGGCTGCTCCTGCTGCTAACCAAGTGGCAGCGTGTTAGACGCTGCTAACTGTGTGCGTGTGTCTGTGTGCGTAGTTGTTTGTGAGTGCACTCACAGCGCCGACTGCCAGCAGCAGCAGCAGCAAACAGCAACAACAACAGCTTTAAATTGCATGTTCAGTTTTTGGCGAGCGATTTTAATGCTTTTAATTTGAATGATGCGAAAGTGGGGGCCAAAGTTTGTGGCAAGCTTGTTGTTGTTGCTGTTGCTGTTGCCATGTCATTTAAGTTAATAGCAGTAAAATGAAAAAGAACAAAATAGTTTGCATTTATTTGTTGGCGGCTCACATTGAGGTTACACCTAATTGCAGCGAGCGTGTTTTAAAGTATTTTATCGATTTGCGTCGCTTTCAATTTTCGTGCTGGCAAATTGCATGAAGTTCATATCCCCTGTCTACAAAATATTCCAAGTATCTGGGGAATGCATATTTTCTATTTATTTTTCTCTCTCTTATTTTTATGCCGTCTGTCTATGGGAAATTCTGCGAATAGTTTATGAGCGCCAGGATTTGTCTGCGTTCTTGCTGTTGCTCAGAGCCTAGGGGCAAAACGAAACAAAAAAAAAAGAAATTCCAAATTTGAAATTGGTTTTTGTTTCAAAGTCATTTGGCACGACGCCATCGGCCGGGGTTCAATAACACCAAGAAATTTGTGAATGCCCAGGACTCGTAAAGCATGAAAAGGACATGTGCACGTGCGGTGCACGCAAACTCGTAAAATTCGTGCATTTAACCAAATGGAAATCACATCAAGTCTGGGTGGTTTGCACAGCAGCCGAGGTTAAGCCCAGAGCTGAGATCCTTCTTTGACTGGCAGACAACGAGACAGCGAGACAGCTAGCTACCCCACGTTGAGCAGGTGAGCTGTTGTCAGCGCAGAACTGGTTTTAGCTCTCAGCTAGAAAATATTGTATGCGAGTAACTTATTCAAAACTTTGAAAATAAAAAGAATGCTGAACGAAGCTTGTCTCAGGCGAGGCAGCGTAACATCAGAAAAAGCTGTGAAACAAATTGCCAAACGAGATGTGCGCGAGTTCTTTGTGGTTAGCGCAGAGGCGGCGAGCCCAAAAATTAATGGGGGCGCTCCACCAAAGTTCAAGTTGTTAAAGTTTCGCAGGCTAATAAAAGCACTAATGAAGAGACATATCAATTGAAGAGTTTTATAAAGCAAAACCCCTCTCGATGCACATGAGCTACGGCTCTGTTACGCTTTTAGCTACCTCATAAATATAGCTTAGCTCTTTGTTGCGTTCACAGAAATTATAGCGCGCTTTAACGTTAATTAAACGCGGCAATAGAAATTTACATTCAGCCAACAACAATGAAGGCCCTAGGAATGTCTCTTCGGCTTAGTTACATTATAATAATAATATAATATCTAAAGTTAAACAGTGTTAGTCTTAATGGCATCTGTGTACTCCACAACAGCCTATAGAAAGCTGATGGAATACGTAATACGCATTAGCTGTAGCTGGGAAAATTATTAAAGCTTCAGATCATTGGTGTTAGAGTTAATAATATTGATTAATTTTATACATTATAATTTTATTTATTAATCATTCTTATGAAATCTATTAGATTTCGCATATAAAATTTAGTTCAAATCTACAATCTGCATCATTCATCTGAAGACTCAGATTCCGATGGAATAAATGAACGCAATGCTCCACATTGTCTCTATTATCGGGCTGGAAGTGTCCATTCCATTCGATCGGATCCCAATTGAGGTAGGCAGCTGGACGGCCCGTGGTGTCCGACAGGAAAAGTCCTTCTTGAGCGAGGTCATTGATGTCAATCCAGTATTCACGTTCTCTGTTCAACTTGGCTATAATTGCTTTATACTCAGCCTCGTTCTGAATGCTAAGCAAATGAGCGCCAAGCTCCTGGCATCTATATCTAGCAGCAAACCAATTCATCTTGAGCTTTTCTTCAATAAAATAACGAACGCTTCCTATATTAACAAAATTCTTATTTTGATCCGTTAACTTCTGTTCAGTTGCTAAAAGCCTTTGCTCGTGGTCAGCCAGCCCTGCCTCTAGGGCCGTCAGCTTTGTCATAACATCGGAATACTTAGCTGTTAGGTCTTGAGTATTGCGTCTCTCCTCGAAGCTGCTGACTTGATTATGCAATTTGTCTATGTGTCGCAATATTGGCTTGACCACTGTGAAGCAGTAGCTGCCACAATTATGTTCGTCTTCTTGCGCTGCCTGACAAGCCTGAAAACCAATCATATATTATATGTAATGCTAAATAACTCAATAACTGAATAGGAATACTGAACTTACTGAACTTTCTGTATAACCCGATGCTATAGCTAAAACCGCCAATAGGAAAGTGCTTCGCATTTTGCTGATAGTCTTTAGCATTCAGCAACGACGTCCGTCAGTAAACTAAATTGTTTGACTAAGAATCTGCAGTATATATACAAATATTAAGTTATTTAATATATAAATATTGATTACTCACAGCATTTACTTTCCTTAATACCCGTCTAAGCCCTTATCAACTTGGAAAACATTTCGAAGTCAAATGTGATTCTGATTTCACTGATAATTGTTTGAAATCAACTAAAACTGAGAATATAAAATCAAAAATCATGCTCTAGGGGCAAGATTGGGCGTTATAAAATTCGTATTATTTAATTATTTATTTCCCATTTATATTTAATTAAATATTCTATTCAGTAAAAAGAATTTATAGTAATGAAAGGAAAGGAGCCATTAAAATCCTTAATAAAAATATCAATATATATATATTTAATCAAAAACATTTAAGTCAAACTTCGCATATAATATATAGCTCATTTTTACAATCTGCATCATTCATCTGAAAATTGTCATTCTTTAAGTGAACGCAATGCTCAACATTATTCCAATTGTCGGGTTGGGCGTAGCTCCAATTGAGGTAGCCAGCTTTACGGCCCGTGGAGTCCGATAGGAAAAGTCCTTCTTGAACGAGATCATTTATGTCAATCCAGTATTCTCGACCCTTGTCGATCAAGGCTGTAACTGCTTTGTACTCAGCTTCGTTCTGAATGCTAACTAAATGAGCGGCAAGCTCTTGACATCTATGTTTGGCAGCAAACCAATTCATCTTATTTTGATTGTCAATAAAATATTGTTTGTTTCCTATGTTATCAAAATGCTTCTGATGATTGTTTTTCTTCTGCTCAGCTGCCAAAAACTTTTGTTCGTGGACAGCCACCTTCTGCTCCAGGGCCGCCAGCTTAGTCATAACATCGGAGTACTGAGCTTGGCTGCCCTGGGTATTCCGGTTCTGCTCGGAGTTACTGATTTGATTGTGCATTCGATGTGGCATAATATTGGCTTGACTACTTTCAAGCAATAGCCGCCACAAATACTCTCGACTTCCTTCGTTGCCTGACAGCATTGTAAAGAAAACATAATTTATAAATTATATTTTATATGTTATAATTGATGAGGACAACGTAACTTACCGAAGTATTTTCACTTTCTATATAACTTGGAGCTAAAGCCAGTAGGAAAATTAAGATCATTTTGCTGGCAGTGTGGAACCTTCAGCAACGACGTTGGCAGCATTCTGAATCGTTCAACTGATGTCAGCGTATTTATATTTTAATCTTTAATATATATTATTCAATGCACTGTTACATGCTGTTATATGCTGCAAAGAGACTATCAAATTCGCAACAATTTTAAAGTCAAATGTTATCAAGATGCTAGATATATATGAATATGTACTTATAATGACATTAACCTTACAATCACCTAGACAAAAACACTCTTAGAAAAAGATCTGTGCATCATGTAACTGACACATTGGCTGACCATTGAACTTGGCAAATATTGTCCACGCTGGAGTGGATAATTATGCGTGAGCGCCACGCCACGCCACGCCCCGTTGTACCCATGCAGTCGAGCTGATGAACTGACGAACTGACCATTAATTATACCAAAATATTCGTGAAGCCAGCTAAGAGACAAGGAACACAAAAAGAAAATCAGACTACGTCGCGACTGTTTTACTAATTTCGTGCTGGGGAATGGGGACGAGGGAGCAGACGGTAATGGGTGGGCCAATAGAATTAATGGCAGCACCAACAGGCGAAAACATAAAGCGACTCTGTCCATTGTCCTTAAGCATTGGAGACGTCGCGTCAAGGAACCTTCAAGTGCCCAAAAGAACAAGCAGGCGACGCCACGAAGGGAACGAACCGTGCTGAGTCGAGCATGGAATGCGACTTTAACCGCACAATAAAAGCGCAACAAGAGACCCAGAGTATAGCTACAAGAAAATATGCCAAAAATGAAACAACTAATTCACTTGCTGTACTTGCAGTTATCCTGCAAAACTGATGAGGCCATCATATCAGGTTGGATTAGCTTATCGATGGAAGCAAGTTCCAGTCTAGACCTGAGTCCAAGTCTGGGTAAACATAACATGCTGTGCGTATCAAATGAATATACCTCACAGCATATTGAACGCTGGGAGCAGTAGAAAACATTGACTCTGGGTTAAATACAACAACAGATGCTGCTGCTGCTGCTGGTGCTGTTGGCTCCGTTGAACTCTTGAACTTGGCAGCGAGAAGAGTTCAATGCTTCTTTAACAGAAGCACGCAAACAAATGGACAGATATATGTACGGCTTAGGACATGTCTGGACTGGGCTGCAGGGTCAACGAATTGGGCCCTTAACTGTGCATTAAATATTTAAATATTCATCAAAATTGCGCATACGCTGCGTGGGCAGTGCATAAAAAAGCTTTCTTTGGCTTATGCAATGCTGAAGCCCGGAAAAAAGTGAAAATGACAAGCTAGAGCTGCTGCATTATTTAAATGCCGAGGCATAAATATTTGATTAGTTGTGAGCCGAAAAGAGAATGCCAACAACAATGGGAACGCTTGCTGCCAGTTAAACACAATTATCTAGCGCCAGTGCCTCAAGACAATGGCAAATGGCAAATGCTTAATGGCAATGGCAATAGCACACAGCAAAAAGCAACAACGGCTTAGGTAGTATATACGTGCGTCTATATACAATATACATAAGCAGATGCTAAGCATAAAAATCATAAAAAGAAAGAAATGTCAGTCAGAGCAAAACGGCAGCTCATTAAAAGTTAAAGCTCTGAAGACAACGACGTTTAAGCTGCCAGAGCTTCTTTATATTTATTTATCGATTTTCTAAAACGCTTCCGCTGACAGTTCTGACTGACGTCTGTCACATTTGTGAAAACTCAACCAACCATCTATCAGTCAAAACCGATAATAATATTGATATTGTCGCGTGCCCCGTCAAGCTAAGAGCGCAGAGACTGCTATTTAACAGTCGCTGCTCTCGTGCTGCTAAGCACCTAACAGTTGTCTGTTAGATCTGCTGCAGACATCCCGCTGTGCTTAACAGTCGGCACTCCACACTCCATATTCCCGCCGGTCTCAGCTCCAACTGTAATTTTGACCCCTTTGCTTTGCATGTGCTATTGTTTTTGTTTTTGCTTTTGTTTCTGCTGCATAGTGGCGGCCTCTTTTGTTGTTGGCATTCTAACGTGGCCATGGCCATTGCCAATGCTCAACAGCGTGACATTTAACGCTATGGGATGCCCGTCCAATGATTGGTACAGCGTGAGTGGCGGGGTCAATACTTTGGTAACTACGACTATTTCTTGATGGCCTTATTCAACTCAAAATGCTAGAGACAATCCAGAGCATTAAGAGGTTCATGACTTTAAGAAGCTCAAGATATTATATGTTTTTTTAGTCTGAAAAGATTATCATATCATTCTTCATTTACTGTGAAACTTACACAGATCCGTTTGTCAATTTATTTACAACTGGCAATCTGAAATTCCAAATTAAGCTTCATTAATATTGATATAGATAAACCACTAGGAACTATATATTATTGATATGATAATACATTTTTTACTAAATTTTACTAAAGCTGCTTGTCCAGGCCATAAATATACCGGTTCGCGCTATACGAAACGGATTGAAAATTGAATGTTGTTTAGTTTTGATGCATAACTAAAAACTTAAGTGGTATCTCACAGTGAGAGTTCTGCGCTGCTAACAACAACAACAACAGCAGGAACAACTAGTGCTACAACTACTACAACATTAAGTCCAACTAAGTCGACGCAGCCAAGCTCAACATATTGTGCGGCCATCCGCTGAGCTCTTGTCATTAATCGCACCACGGTATAAGCCCACAAATCAACAGTCAATCAACGCGCACAGCCCACAAAGAAGAGAGTCCAAAATGTTAATGTTAACAGTGCGATGTGTTCGTTCGCTCGCCAAGCCTGTTAACAGTGGCGGGCGCTCACACTCTTTGTCTGTTAACAGAGATGCCGGGCCGTTAACATTTCTTGTGTATCTCTCGGGCTGCTATTGGGCTGTGGCACGGCTCAGCTTTCAGTTCAGTTTCAGTCTTTACATGGTGCTCGTCGACTGCACGTTGAACTCGCATCAAATCGCTTGACTTTGCCGCCTATGAAACTTATAAACAAAAACAGTTAAATAAACACTTTGTCTCGTGTCGCGTACATTTTGTGAGCCCGTGTGTTTAACAGAGTGTGAGTTGTTCTCTGTGCTAGCGTGTTTGTGTGCTGTGTGTTGTGCTACTCCACACGGTGCGCCCTCATTGTGCTCTCGTGCAAATGAAAATTTCATTGAGCAGAAAGTAGCCGCAGAAAAGTGGAAAATCCTAAAACAGCTAAAAGCAAAAATAAATCATTTCAAATCGCTTTAAGTGAAATTATCAAAAAAAAAAAAACCAGCAAAATATTTACAGATTCACTGGAACCGTGCAGAAAACTTTAAGAAGCAAACAAAGTAATATTAAATAATTAATATTTTAAATACAATATATTATTCATTGATGATCATTTAATATTTATGCGAGTTGCAATTGCCCAGCGGCTATCCGCACTTTCTTCATGCCTAGAACCGGAAAATATTCCAATATGTGTGCAAGTTGTTGGCCAGTCAGTCGAGTCGAGTCGAGTTGAGTTAAGTTGAGTCGAGGCCGGGCATCATCAGCCGGTCAAGCGTTCCGGCCAGACCAGACCAGGCCAGATAGAAGCCTCCGCGCCTAGCTAGACAGCCAGCCAGCCAGCCAACCAGCCAGCCACCTGCCCGGTTTGAGTAGCAGACATTGCGGCACAGAAGCTGCCACTAGCTACCTCGGTGTGTGCGTGTCGAGCTGTGGAATTTTATGCAGTGGCTGGCTCGTTTATTTTGCCAGCTCCTACATATATTTACAACTTCATATATGAAGCCTCTTTTTATTGGCAGGGAGGGTGGTCGTCTCTGGACTGCCTGCTGACTGCCCTGCCGTTGGCCACGCATTCAGCCAAACGTAACGAAAACGCAACTGCGCTTCACGCTTCAGGCTCAGTCGCAGTCGCAGTCGCAGTCGCAGTCGCTATCGCTGTCCAAGAGGGGGACGCTTGGCTACCAGCCGCATTAGATGAGCAGCAAATCAAACACAGAAGTTTTAAACGCTGCTAGTAGTACAGTAGAACTAGGCTATGACGAGCAAAAGTGCCAAACGAAAATTTCAATTACATTTTCAGCTCTTATTGCGCTTTTTCGAAATTTATTGAAAATATTGAGTTAAAAAATTTATATATATAAAATAATTAGTGCAATATTTAATGAGCCGCTTTTGAAAAAATCTTGAGCTATAATTTTTAATATATTTTCTACTCCGAATATTGGTTATTTAGGTGCCCAATTCTGAGATGTGCTGGTAAATATCGATAGATAAAGACAACATTTAAGCCCAACTCTTTTTAAGCACTGAAGTTGAAGTTAATCCGATTAAAGTTAACAGAAAATCAACTTTTATGCAGCACTAGGCTTTTAGTTAGAAACTATTAATTAGACTTGTAAAATATAAAAACTTCTACGTTTTGTATGCCAAAATTCATCTCGAATCTATTTTATGCAGTTGCCTAAATAGCTCAGGTCTTTTGTCCTAAAAACTTCTAACAAATTCATTAAAAAGTTTTGGTTGGAAAAGGGGTAAAAACGATTGTTGCTTGAGTTCCCAAGCTGCAGAGTTTTAGTTAAACATTGAGTAGTAGCTGGTATTAGCGTTATAGAAAAGTCTTGAATGAAGTCAACTAAGTCAACTTTCTTGACAAAGATGTTCGCCATAGAGCTGCTTAACGGTACGCTGGATAGCATTACAAGCACAACGCGTTTTAATAGACTTTTTATCAATCGCAGACTCACTTTTTTAGCATTTATTTCGTTGTTTTTTGTTCTTGCCAATGCGCGTTTTATTGATGTGTATTTGCTTGTGCGCTTCTGTGCTGATTTTAAGTGTGCCGTTGGCGAGTTTTATGTTGTGTCTGGCTGCATTTTGTAACCTGGTTTTATTGCTGCCATAACATATGCCACTGCCTGTTGTGTCTAATCACACGTTGCAGAGCAAGCGAAAAAACAGAGCGAAGCGTAGAGCCAAAGATACGATGCACAAGATACATTAAGTATTGGACACACGAGTCTGATTCTGACATGTTTACATATTTTGCTTTGCGCCGTGTGCTTTGTCTTCTTAATCGATACATGTACAGGGTGCTGCGAGTCGTGTTTAGGTAGCGTTCTAGCAATAGATAAACAAGTGTCTTAAGCATGTGTTCTAAGAAGAAATCTTATATATTTGTGGCTTTAAGACATAAAGACATAAAATTATCTCGAAGATACTCAAAAATATCTTGAAAATACTATATATATATATATATTTTTTTTTTATATACTCTTAAAAATACAAAACTATCTCTTAACAATATCTAAAATATATGCAAGTATCTGAATAATATAAAAATCTCTCTAAGTTAGAGCAGTATCTGAAAGTTATTACTATCTGAAAGATACTAACCTATCGTAAAGTATTGAGACATTTTTCAAAGCAAAAAAAACTAATCTAAACAAAACACGTATAGAAAGCCAGATGTATCCAAGTTGACCTCATCGTTAACCACAAGACGCCCAGACTCCGCGCTCGCCCCCTATTGTTCGTAAAAAGTTATTTAAGACAAAAAAAAAAAAAAAACAAAAAATTGATTGAAAGATACGCGCGTCTATGTATGTATTTATTTATATTATTTTTGCAGTTTTCAGAGATTGAAAGATAATCTCCTTTTGTGTAGTAGCTTTTAGAACAACAAGCAGCCGACCTTCGACAGAGTTTAGAGACATGACCCCCACAGTATAGTGGCCCGAGAGCAAACATTAATTATGACGCTTGTTGTACGCCAAATGGCAATAAATTAATTTGAAATTAAACAACATTTCGAGAGCAGCGTTTGCACACATCCTCAGGCAAAACCCAAAATAGAAAAATAAAACAAAATAAATAAAACAAAATAAATAAACAAAAGCAAAAGCAAAAGCAAAATAAATCTGAGAAAAGTGCCAAACGAAACGTCTGAAAATGTGAGCATGTTCCGTGGGAGATTTCGTCAAAAAGATTAATAAGCAACGGCGACGTGTTCGGCATTTTGTAAGGCCCCAAACACTCGACTCAGCCATATATATATATATATATATATATATATATATCTGTCGAAGCGGAAATGTAAGACACGGCGGCAACTCGTTAAGATTGAGCCACGCAGAGTAAATGCCGCGCCAAATGTGTAGCAAATAGAAGGGCATATAGCCAGCACAGAAAAAAAGAAAAGCAATCATAAAGGAATCATATATAATGTATAAAAAATAAAAAACAAAATTTTAGGCTTATAATTAGAAACGTTGCACGACATACAAATGAGCAGTAAATGGCAGTTATACTCATTGAAAACGCATTATGTATTCAATCGAATATCTTTTTGAATTTATATGTTAAACGATTTATGCTGCTCGTATGCCAAATGGTTTTAGAATACAAAAATCAATGAGCTTTTCGCTGTTGTCTATTTTTTTTTTTAATATATTATATACAGTTTCGCAAATTAAATTAACTAATTAATCAATAAAAAGAATTGAATACACAAGACTCGAAGCGGCTGGGCTTCTTTGTTACCGCAAAAAAAAAAAAAAACAATTCAATGGAATTAAGACATTTTTTTGTTCTTGTAAATTAAAGTTAAGCCCATATTAATCTTGAGATTTAATTACGTAATATTAGTAATAAATTACAAATTCTTGTAAGTTATCAAGCCTTAACCCTGGTGTTTCTCTCGAACCATTAAAACACATAATCTGAAGGGTAATTACTTGAGGCAAAATAATTCAGTCCTATTCATTATGTCAATTAATTTATTCATAATAATTCATGTTATAAATTAATGTTAACTTATTTATTTATTAAAAATATCATATACATATTCTGACTTCTCTTAGATGCAAATGAAGCTACAATGCTCAATTTTCTACCAGAAAAGCTTTAAAATAATATAATATGTGATATAAATAAAAGATTACTAGAATATATTAATTAAAAATAAACAAAAATTATATACATATGCAAATATATTAGAAGATCTGCAACAAATATCCTCACATCCCTAAGTTGCATAAATATCTTAAAGATAGCTCAATTTTCTCTTAGAAATCCTTTAAATTATAGAAATAAATAATATAAAATACGAGTAAGCTAAATTTGTAGCCAATTTCAGCTGTAGGTACGCAAATTCAGGCTACTATGCATATCTTATGCAGCCTAGCTGGCAAAATGTCAAATTGTCAGCTCGATAAATATTCAAGCAGCTGACAGAGGTCGGTCAACAGATGACGGCTGAGGCAGAACTTGAACCGGATATTTAGGCAATTACATTTTACAATTTCGCCAAATGGAAATATTGACGGCTCGTTAAATTTTAACTGGAAATTGAAAAATGTTTAGCTCCATAAGAATTGCGTCTTTTTTTATATACTTTATATATATTTTAATATATATATATATTATTTTATATGCTGATTCATACATCAATTAGTTTCAATATTAAACCAACGAGAGCCGCAGGCAATTATTACAACTAATAGATATGCACAGCGAATTCAGGGAAATCAAAGCTTATCAGCAGTAAAATCCAACTAGAAAAACACATGATAATCACTGACAGTTGAACAGACGCTCAGATAGTTGAGCATGAAGCAGCGCCAAGCCGAGTGGAGTGTGGAGCGCACGTGCCATTGAACTCTAACCTAGTGCCTGGCAGTAGGCTGACGGGACGTATGTGTAATGTGACTGTGTGCAGAGACAACTGTATTCGGTAAAACATATAGGGTATTAGAGGTCTTTTTTAATAAAATTATCTGAATATATTTGCTCTCTATATATAATAATTATTGAAATCAGAATTCTAATGGAAAATTCAATTGAAAACTGGGACAGATAATTTCTCTTCTATTATATTATTGATTCATATTATTCCAAACTATATTATATAATGTTTATATCAACTCTTATAGTTATAAAAAAGTATGCTCAAGGAGACAATCTTAGCTTAATTTGAAGCCATATTCAATCTACTTCTACTTAATAATTTTTTAGGAAAACTCAAGGAGAATTACGTTCTTCATATAATTGCTTCTTCTGCGAGAGTATTTCGTTAGCGACTTTTCAAAAGATTTTCCTTCATGTTAGATTTTTATTTTCAGTTTTATTATAGACAATCACAAGGCATTTATACACATATTGATAGAGTGTTGCAGCAGAGCTCAGTGCATCTTGTGCGCTAATCGCGCAGTCGTATACACACACACACGCTCTCTGTCTATCTCTCTCTTATTCTCACTCATTTACACACGATTGTAGTGTGGGCAAATGGACATGTGTGCATGACGTCTTTATGGCCTCCATCATTGCCAGGCGACCG